CAGCACATATATGGAAAGAAAAATTGGGGGAATTTATCATGCTTTGGTTATAGTTTTTAAAAATAAAGAGAGCCACATGAAGATCAACATACTTTTGATAATAACCCCGCTCATGCTATCATCAAAATTTTGAAAAGTCTTAATTTATTTCGGATTATTAAATAAAAGTGAAACAATAGCATCGTTCCTTTTTTTTAACAACGTATTTTCCTGTTCATTTAATTTTCCTTCTATACTTTCTCCTCTCATTTTTCTCACTGTCTTTTTGGTGTCACTATCCATCAAATAATTGCTTATCGTATTCCAGCCGTTTTTGACTCACGAAAATAGAACTACTTCACAAGTGACATAATCTATGTGTGCCAAGCGAACATTTGAAAAAGCCAGCTGATAGACAGACAGATAGAAAATTAGTTAAGCTTCCGGGCAAATCTAAAAGAAATAGTAAACAGTAGGCATTACTAAGATATTCTGTTAGTTATCGTCCATTAAAAACATGAGAATAAAAGAGAAAAGAACGATACTTGTTTTCACTCTTTCCCAGTTGCAATGTTTCGTGTCCCTCTGTTTACAGAACTTAAGCATATAAATAAACCGACATAAATTCAGGCATATTTATTTATCTCTCTCTGCCTTTGTTTTAAATTTAATCACTTCTTTATTTCTTATTTCTTTTTAGTAGACATTTTCTTTTCAGATTATTTGCACCTCCCTTTTTCTTCCTTTATAGTCCTTTTTTCTCTTCTTTTCCAATTTTTCTCTCTTGCTTTTCTTTATTGTTTCTGTATTTTTTATCTTTTATTTCTTTAATTTTATTCTTCATCTTACTTTAATTCTAAATTTCATTTGATGTTTCATTCCTTTCTTCCAAAGCATTTAACATTATGTTCATAACTCATTTTATTTTCCCAGAAAGAAGCCGTTCTGGGTAAGACGATAAACTACATCCAAAACCAAGACCTCAGATCAAAAGGGCTAGAATAGTGTGGAACCACCTCTTAATTGCTGGTATTTCCAGGTCCACCCTGAGCCGGGGTGGCAGCACCTGTTAGGGTCCCAGCTATGAACAAATAGGTACATCCAAATCTGGGGTCAAAACGCTATGAAATTGTAAAATATGTTTTAATAGAAGCAATGCAATTTTGTAAAAAAATATTACCAGCAATGAATTTTTGAAAAAAAAAAAATACCAGCAATACATTATTACCAGCAATACGTCGTTTAAGGGAAAAAATATTAGCGGCAATACATTTTTGGAAAAGAAAAAAATAATAGCAGCAATACATTTTTGAAAAAAATATTAGCAGTAATAATCTTGTGTGCATTAAATAACCCATTGAGGTCGCTATGCCGTAAAACACACCAAACCAAACCAAACCTGAATGAAGGACATGGAACCGATATTATTCTTCCAGGGTTCCATCTTATGGTGTTTCTTCTTCACAACTTCATTGTTCAGAGCTTAATTCGGTGTCGTCTTTTCGTATTCTTCTGTATAAGCTAAAGCAAATATCAGGGTGTCGCACTTTTTCTACTTTACTCCTAGAGGCCGTAGCCCAAAATATTATCCCATTTTGGAATCAGGCCGACTCCATGAGGAAATTAAAAACATCCCGTACTGGATCCGGAGCCGCAATCCTGAAATTTTGGATCCCCAAGTTTTCATTACTGCAATTGTTTGCGGTGAATTTTTTTGCTTAACCTTTTACGACGAATTTTTGTACGATAACAATTTTTATAACTTGGATATAAATTTGGGAATAAGCGAAATTAATTGCGAAATCAAACGAAAGTCACCCAAGAAATAAAAATAAGTGTTTGTACAGAAAGTAAGGCCCTACGTACGTCAAAATGACTTTAAGTTAAGAGGTGGTAGAAGTATTATCGTTGAAGTTTTAAAAAGTAAGCTTAATTAGCAATGCAATTCTTAAATGCAGCGATCCATTTTGAGTTCTTCCGTAGTTTACTGTTAACTCTCATATACGCCAGCAGTATGCCTCGGGAAAAGAAATTATCGCCAACAGAAGAATAGGGTTTCAATCAAATGAGCCAATGCTGCAGCGAGGAAAAGAAAGTGCCGTGCAAATGAAAACTCAGATTAAACTGTAACCAGGGGAGCTTCCGATGCTGAGAATATGCAAAGACTTAGGGACTATCAAACTCCTGAACAAGCTGAAGGCCCAGTCAAGAGACCTCAACAGGAACTAGTTTAATGCCGCCCGATTGTCCTTTATATTTCTTTGTTATTTCTCTTCCTCTATTCATCTTGTATCATGTTCTAGTTTTTCAACGATAAGACCATTTTTGCATTTCTAAAACATGTCCATCTTTAATATCACTTATGATGTCAGTCTCTTTTTCTGTCTTTATTTAATAGTGTTTTTTTTTCTCATACACTTCTCAATACCTTATTCTTTTTCTTCATGCAGACTTATTCTTCCTTTTTCTATACATAAAACTTTTCTTCTTTTTCTCTTCAACTTCCGCCTTTCCTTCTTTTTTTTTCTTTCCTCTGTTTCTGATCTTTTCCTCTTCTTCACCATTCATAAAAGTACTTTTCATTCACTCTGTTTCTTTATTATCTTTCTTTACTTACTGACATTAAACCGGGTTTTGAATTTGGGAAATCTATTCGTTTAATTCTAAATCTGTTCTTTCCGATTTCCTGTTCCGTTGACAAAATATATTGTTCATTGTATGACAAAACGGTTATTAGAAAAGACATTTTAAGACTTCACTTAAATGGTTTTTCTCCTAGCTGTATTTCCTTGACAATCGGTAGCAGAAAACACAGTGAATATTTTACTGAGTTCAAACAAGAGGATCAAATTCACAACGAAAGTTCAACGATGGTAAGAAACCAGGAAGAGGTTCTGATTGTTGCTACTTACTAGATTAGTTTAGGCACAGAGACACAAACTGGAGTCACTCACGATGATATGGTTCACGACTAATAGCAAAAAAAATTATTTAGCTAAAACTGACACACGTTAACTTCATACAATACCAGAAAATATTTATAAGTGTGATAATAAAATAAGTATATCCTATCTACCATCTCATCAATCACAATAAAATAAAAAAAGTTTTTTTCAGAACCAAAATAGAATGAGTTAAATAAAGTTCCATAAGATTCTACTTAGTATCTGTCTATATTTCTGAGATAAGGTATTATGTACGTTATTTATATTATTAGGACTATTGTCCTCATCTTTGTCGCCATATTTATTACTACGTTTCGGCCCTTCAGTATCTGTCTGTATTTCTGAGGTGAAGTATTATGTACATTTTTTTACATTATTCGGACTATTGTCCTCATATTTGTTGCTATATTTATTACAACGTTTCGGAAATTGTACGCTCCGGCCTTCTTCAGGTGGTTGGAATGTCGAACTGAACCCTTTATTTCGCTCACTGGGGTAGACTACTCAAGGACACATGGCACAGTGGATAAAGGCGTTAGTTCGATCAGGTGACAGGCCCCAAAGAGTGTGAGTTCAATACCCGGTTAAGACAGTGGAGAAATTTCAGAGGAAAAATTAACAGGAGATAACTGATAACTGGCATCTATTATAAAACATGGCACGTGAAACTAGAACAGTCTACCCACCTGAAGAAGGCCGGAGCGTACAACGACCGAAAAGTTGTAATAAATATGTCGAGAATATTCTTTATAATGTAGATAATGATACTTAGATTTGGTAATGCACTATCATAAGGTAATTTTCCTCAATATTAAAATCACTATAATCTTGGTCTGAATTTCTTTCATGAGGAGTTTACTATTGGTATTCCAACGTTTTAGCCTTGGTGCACTCAGCTTTTTATGAGGTGTTTATCCGGATCGACAAGAACACAATGGAATCCGTAGGGCATAATAAACAAAATGATGAAAATGAAGAGCTATAATATTTAGTAGAAGTGAGAAATCGAATTTTGTTGTAAAAACTTTTTAATAGATAGGTGCTTTAAATTTTAACAGAGAATAACACTAACTCTTCTGTAAAAGAACGCTGAATGTATCCTCTGAGGAAAAGGTTAAGTTTATCATTACCATTAACAGAGAACGAGGCCAAATAGAAGCTATGAGGATCATATTTGCACAGTTCTCGCTACCTGTATACGAATTCCTGTAGATTTTCATTTATTCGACTTTTTCTTAGATATTGTCCACTAGCGTTCATGGTACATAGGTAACTACCTCTATTATATTAATTATTTAAAACAAAAAACTTAGTTTAACATAATACACTTCTGTACGAGGTTAAGATATGTGTTTAGAAGGGTGGAATTATCTTAAATACAGGATTTATATTTGGGCTTAATTTAAGCTCGACATGGAAACCTCAGATGACATTTGAAAATAAGCACTTTCTCAAGACGTAATGGCCTTTAGTATTGGACTTTATTTCTGGCATTTACGTCTTTATTCTTCCAAACTATGTTATGTTTTTTCCTTAAAATGCCATGTCCTTTCTGGGCGTAGACTAGCGTAACTTTCTCACAGATTCTATTTCTGTAATATTTGCAAATTTCTTGGACTTGTTTACTTTCCTCCGTCTTATCAACCATTAAGCAAAACATTTTGGATTCTATTTATAATCTTATTTTTATGAATACGTTTTGCATTAAGAGCTTTTGAATATAACAATGATTTTTCCCGAGATACAAGCCCCACTTTTAAACCCATTGCGGGGAGGGGAATATAGATTCATACCTTTCTTAAGGTTATTTGTGCGTCAATGAATGTAATAAACCCGGCGAGAATCCGAAAATTCTGAGTCGCTATTCCATGTCATTATCTGCACATCAGGAAACTTGGGAAATATGATGCAGCGGTCTCGCGTTGACTTCTCCACGGTTTTAAATTTGGAGTTTTCATTCTCATACATTTTGTCGCCCAAGGATAAAGATCCCAGTCTACTCTGCTAATTAACCTATAGGTGGATGTGGAAAACATGATTTCAGACGTTCTCAAGTCATCACTAGCTTGGAATGTTATGTTTTGTCTTATATATTCCTCCCTTCTTTGTTGTTTGTTTTATTCAGTTCATGCCTCATTCATATTTCTTTGTCTCTCACTTTTCCCCCCTTTTGGCTTTGGCATAGGAAGATTTTTCTTTGAACGTTTCTCATCAAACATGTCTTCTTTATTCCTTGTGATCAGTTATTTCTTAGCCTTTCTTTGCACTTTTTCTATCATATCATTTTCATTCTCTATCTCAAACAATCTGTTCCTTACGTATAATTAATTTCTTTCTGGCATCTCTCCGCTTACATTTACTTCTTTGACGAATTAATTCCTTATTTCTCAATCTTCAATTATTTTTCCTCATAGCTTAATTTTTTTTTTCTATATTCCATTTCAGTTTTCTTTTCCTTGAGCGTACATATAATATACTCAACATTAATTTTCCTCTCACTTTCCTAATATCTAATGTTGTTAAATTATGAAATAAGCCAAGATCGAATTCTTACTTCTAAAATATGCAATCTATCTTAAGGTTGCCCAAAACTTTCAGTTTTCTAACTTAGATCTTGCTCATTTTTTTCATATTTTCTTTATTTTTTCGTCTATGATCTTTTGTTTTGAACTCATTCAATTTTTTTTTCTGTTTCCCTTTTCCGCAGTTTTGTTTCTATTATTTTATTTTTTCTTTATTTATCTCTGCAAATTCTGTTCTTAGGCCTCCCAAAAGTATCGAGACGAAGACAGTTTGCCCCCTAGTGTGCTCTAACTGAGCCTAAAACGGTCACTACTATAGGGGCGGTAGGTGGCGCTGTTCTCTTAAAATGGCGGTTCGTTTTGTGAAAAGATGGGCTTGTTAGACGTGAGACAAAAGGTATGCAACAAAAAAAATTAGTTGGAAGACATTTTTAGCAGTACAGATGTATTGCCTTTTCGAGATATTTTTTGTTATAATTTTTTACGGCCTGACTATTTTATTATCGACCTTTAAAAAGATATGCGAAAACTACGTGTTGCTGTTGTTTCAGCAGGACCTAAGGGAGATAATACCCGACTTAATTCCAATCTTTTTTCAGACAAAAATAAACATAAGACATTTATTGAAGAAAAATTATAATTAAATATAAAACAAAAAAAAAATAACAATGCAAAAGTTTAGGTAGATTCTAAGAAGAAAAGTAAATTATATCAGTGAGTATGTCTTTAAGAAGGTGACATTGTAGATTTTATTATCTCAATTAGGCCTAAGACAATTATTAAATCTAAAGATAATAATAATTTTGTCAAGGTAATAGTAATGTTAATGTTGATAATAATATTGATTAAATTAAGAAATAGACACGGAAAACGTACTGTTCCACATACATACTCGATAATTCAACGATGATATTTGAAGTCAAGCAAAGTCGAATCTAGACAGTACCTGGATAGGTGGTCACTTGGAAACATTAGGTGCTGTAACCTTAAATGTGTGTGGGTAGTGTAGTGGATAATGACCTCGAATTGTTAATTGGAGAGCCTAGGACCAATTTTAGTTGTGTTTCTTATATTCTCTTACAGGCAAATACTATTGGGAAACGTATAAATCAAACTCTTCTCCCCAAGATATGGATAAATTAGTGAAACTTGTATTACTAAATAATTATTATTTCCAAAACATTCGTACAATAGAAAAATATTTAATGACTTTAAAGCTTGATAAGCCATAGAAAATTGAATCGATCCGTCATACGCACTTGCATCAAACTTGAGCAAATTAATTGAAGCAAAACGAATAATTCCGTTATTATTCACTCTTTTCGAATTTTTCCAATGAAACATTAACTAGTTCACGTTTTTGTATTTCATATGTCTATTCCAGAAAATTGACCACTGATTCTCGACTGAATTTAAATCAGGAGAGTTTCCGAGCCTGTCGATAATACTTTGAATTGCACACTGTTAAGGCTTATTATTGTGTTCGTACAGCGTTACAATTTTCGTACGCTTCCTTGGAGTAACGTCCATCGCAGACAAGGTCCGTAGGACAACTAATCGACAGTTGAGACAATGGTGTCTGGGCGTGATGTAAATCTGATGCAATCACGGATGTTGCAATATTTTTCAAGACCAAACAAATTTCATCATATACCCAGAAAATAGATTCATATTACCGCACACCACTGCAAATGACCTAATGTGAGGAAGAAATAGAAATCAATTACACCCTGTCACTCCAGTGGGTCTAAAACTGATCGAATGGTGAAAGAAAGGAAACTAAAGCAGTTGTTTCAATTAATTTGCACAAGGGTGTACTTATCATATTGTTACTAGGAAAGATCAAAATATATACTTTGGTTATGCTTTAAAAGAATATGGCTTTTTAAACAAATTATAAATAATTCGAGCGCCAAATTGACTCACATGAGACGCGTACGTTTAATTGTTGTTAGGTATATTTTTTAGTGTTTGTGCTTCTTTCAAGACACTTGCCGAATTGTGAGTATTTCCATATATCTGATACCAATTGGAAGCATTTTAGTCAAAATAGCTTTGCATATGAATCTATTTCCTGTTTTAACCATGTATCACCTACTGTAAATAACACAGGTGAGATTATGACTACCACATCTATTGCCTGGAAGTTTCATCTCATGACATTTCTGGAGACTTGTTTTCAGCGTTTCTTTTGCATTCCGAGAAATCTGGAAACCAATTTTGCTTACATACATACGCATATATATCGCGTAGTCCAGGATGTATACCAATATAAATCAAGTAAATTTGTATTAACCAACCAACGTACAAACATTCAGGATATACTTTAAATTTTAATGTAAAATAATATATCAGCATAGAATAATATGATTTGTTAGAAATATAATTGCATATGTGTTGATGTGAGCTTGTATCATGGAACTCGGGTTTTTATATACGGTATTGTAAATGCGTAATAATTTCATAGTAACAGACTTGTTGGTATTTATTTTTGATTTTCATATATATATATAATAGCTGACATAAGAAATATGTAAATGTCAATGAGAAAAGATGATATTTTTAAGTTACTGAATGATGAAACTTAAGAAAAAATATTACAGTAACATTTTATACATATGTACTTAATTTAAGACATTTTTTATGTTTATACGTTCTTTTTATAGATAAAAAATGTCTTAAAATAATTATCGGACTTTGTCCATTTTATAATGTGTGACGTCATTTATTTACATTTAGATACACATCGAGCAGATATGAATGTACGAGAGAAAATCATGGAGAATTGTAGGTTAAAAACAGTAAAAATCGACCATGCTAACCGAAACGCTCCTCTGTGGCTCAATCGGCAAAGCACGTCAGGCTATATGACGATTCCGTATACGATACAGGTTCGATTCTTGTCGGAGGATGTATATTTCAAGATATCAAGAGATCTTTTGTTTTTAATCTATTCACTCCAAGCAAGGCGATAATGTCACCAAGATGTAAATCTTTAATTCGAGTGGAAGAAAATAAGAAAACTTTAGTGAGGAGGAAAGAAAATGAAAGAATAGGATTCAGTGTGACAGAAGATGGCGAATGATGTTACATTAAAGTTTCGAACATAGAAGGGAAACAAGGAATCGGAATAGAGTGCAACAGGGATGAAGTGCGAGAAAGTATTAAAGTAGCACTAACGGTAACACCTGGCTATTTCAACAGTACAAAAATTAGACTTAGCAGCCAATCTAGTCGTACGCTTAAAGTAATGCAGTCGAGATATGAAGGGGAGATAATAACTGAGAACAGTGTGAAGCAACGTCACCTCAGTGCGATAGGGATTGAAGCCGAGATATCATGTTTGCACCGATAACCCATGACGGTTCTTTGAATTTTCTCAAGAATCACCAGACATAGTGTGTTTCATTAAAGCGGATTATATATAGGGGTGTTTCATTAAGACGGATCAAAGTTATCAGTCAATAAATCAGTGTTATTAGTGAAAATTTATTTAATTTTCTACTGCATTATGTTATTCAACTCATGGCAATTATGGGTGAAAATTAATATTGCCGTCAAATCTGAAAGAAAAAGAAAAAATCATTAAACGCTTAAAATTTAATTCAGATTTAAAATCGGTCCAAGTTATTGAAACACCCTTTATAACCGAAGACACAAACCAGTAATAATCAATGCATGGTAGATTAATAAATGTACACGTTGTATTCTGACGAAACACTAGTAAACATAGTAAACAATCCTACTTAACAGTAGATCTAGGTATTGATTAAATATAATCGCATAAGTTTATGTCAAATTTTATGACGAAAAAGTCTCACGGATTTGCTTTCCTGGAGATTAGCAAAATGGTTTTCTATAATGATTAATGGTTTGTGGTTTCCATTTGGAGCCGTTAAAATTGACAAATTGTGTTAAAATCATTAGCCAGCCTAGGTAGTATTATACTGCATACTTGTGTTCTGCTAACTGAAGTTTCTTTTTCTACTCAAATTGATGAAAGCGATTGGCTCATAAAATGATCCATTTATTTCCCTCTAGATGTCTAACGCTCATCTAACGCTTGCTTGATTACAGTACTTTATTCATAGACTTTGTATTTGGTACTACGTGTTTGTTATTTTCTCAATTAGCTGCTGAGGTTTCCAGTTGCTAATTGTCAACCGAAATATTTTGTCTATATTTCTGAGATGAAGTATTATGTACATTATCTACATTATTCGGACTATTGTCCTCAACCTTGTCATATTTGTTACAAAGTTTCGGCCGTTATACGCTCCGGCCTTCTTCAGGTGGTTCTTTATTTTGCTCCCTGCAGTAGACTGTTCCGAAGAGTGTGAATGCAATAACCGGGTAAGCCAGTGAAGAACATTCAGAGGGAAATTAACAGGAGATAACTGATAACTGACATACATTAAACAGGGCACGTGGAACTGACCAGGCTTGATATTGCTTAACTTTGGTGATTGTATGAGAAGCGGTGTTTTAGTGTGGTATCTCTGTAAGATGTTCAGGTAAACGACATTTTTATTTCCTTTTAAATTTTATATATATATATATATATATATATATATATATATATATATATATATATATATTATCCGGTGAAATTTTCCTCCTCTACCTTCTTGTTTTACTTCCCTTCCTCCTTCTGAAGTTTTCTTCTTTTTCTTCTTTTGCAACATCAATTTCTTTTACTCCTTTAAAGAAGAAAAATCACTTCTTTTGTTTAATAGACGCTTCTTTTATCAACTTCTTTTCCCTTCATTCACGCTTAATTATCTTTTCTCATTGCATCCAACATTCAATCCTGTTACGTCATGTCATGTTATTATTTTCTTTCATTTCCATACATTCATATGCATCTCTTTTCTTTTTTGTTTCTGTGGTTTACTTTATTGTGTTCCATTACTTTTTCTGCTTTTCTCTTGCAAATCGGATAAACACGTAATAAACAACCCGTTAAAATATATTCCATTGTTAAGCTTTCAGAACGAAATGGCTATTAATTGTTGCACAGAGATCAAGATGATACAAACGTACGGGTTAAAGCCAAAGAAAGAAAATCTTTTGAGAATAAGACATCAAAGAAAAATTGTGGATTCCTGAAAATAAAACCAAGACTTGATCCGGGAAAAGCCGCCACAAAAATCAATCGTAAGGAAAAACGTGAAAGAACAATAAACGTATAGAAGCTAACACGATCTCTTTTCTAAAGTCTATCGGATATTGGATAAATTCTATTTTACACAATACTATAGCTGCAGGGGATCAAGTGCGGTTCGAACACACTATACAGTGATAATTAATAACACGATAAACTGGGTAACCCTTATGCACCTCAAAGCAATGAACGGTATACAATTAATCTATCACAAGACTAAAAGGCACACATGTGTATCAAACATACAATAGGATAGGCTATTTACTACACGTATATTAGAAAGGCAAAAGACCCTACTCAAGGGTAGAATCAAATTCACTAACAGGATTGGGATATTATCTTTCAATTATTAATCTAGTATTTATTTATCGCTTTCCTTTACTATTTTTATCGGTCGATCAGTTTTATATGTGTGTCTCCCATCCACAAAGTGTCATATGCTTCTCTTCTATTATTAAGTCCACCGACAATAAATCGTGATAGTGTCTTCATCTCCCTTAGGATAGCCTCGCTGTAGCGGTTGAATAAATCTAGAGACAAGACATCTTTTTGTTATACGATCCTTTCTAGTTGTGTGTACCTACTCAATCTACAGAAACATAGTGAGAATTCGAAGTAATAAGCAACGAGGAAGTCTCGAAGAAAATGGCAGCAAAGGGTGAGCTGGAAGTTCTTAGACACATAACGAGGAAGGTGTACTTGAAAAAATGAATGCTCATATGACACACCGAGAGAAAGAGATACGGGACGCTGATGAGCTTTTATGATTGGTGGTAGAACAGAGGTATGCCGAGAAGGATACATGGCAGTATAGATAGCGTGAATGTGTTTAGGAGGCTTAGCAAGGGCAAAATACTTCTAAGAGCCACAAAGGAGAGGAAGATTTAGAATGACATGATTATGTCCATATTCTGAATGTATTCATCTTCTATCCGGATGCAGGCGGTCAGCTCCCAGTATAAAATCTAGAATGTTCGTACATCCTTTCCAAGTAGATCTCATTCACCTAACAGTTCAAATACATCCTTTTCTCGTACATAGTCAAATGATTTCGTATTATCTATCGTATATATCGGCATCTGGCTTGGCTTAAACACATCGTATTAGACATATGTGTTATCCCGGATCGTGTCAGTAAGTCTATCAGGCATGTGAATAACACAAAACAGACGTATGATTCTCTTTTTTGAAGTTCTCCCGGGGACAAATTAATGCCGTGTAATGACAAGGCCTAAATAAATATATTGCCACAAGTGTCGACATTCGTTCTTTTGCTTGGCTTCTGTTTTGCTCTATCATGGCTGCAAATAGCATAAGGATTTCACGATATTCATGAAATTCTATGGAGATATCGTTTGGTGTTTTAAAGAACAAAGGCTAGATAAGTAATAAAATCAATGTTTGTATTCATGCACATTATTGACCAATACACAGACACATAAACACAAACACACACACACACACATACATATATATATATGGGGGGTGTACATACATATATATATATATATATATATATGTGTGTGTGTGTGTAAATACATATATATATATATGCAATTATACATATATATCAATATATATGTGTGTGTGCGTGTGCGCGAAAATATATTCATATACATTAATATATGTACTGTCAAAAAGTGCGATACATAACTTTTAAAATTATTTTTTAGAAATGTAAAATCGTTCTTGAAGCTTTTATTTTAGTTTTAATTTCAAGCTGGTAGATTAAATATGATATTTACAAGTAAAATAGTATGCTGTATTTCAAAATTACTTGACGCCAATTTATGCAAACAGGATTTTATTAAAAATTATTTAATTGTTTTTGAAATTTTATTTGATGAATATTATTTGATTTAAAATATAATTATTCTCATTTAAAAGAAACATATTTATTTAATGTTTAAAATATCGGAGATATGCATTTTAACACATCGTTAACATGTTTATTTATGTTGACAGCTTTTTAACAGCTCGTGACAGCTCGATGACATATAAATATTTATTTAGTGTTGGTCCTTAACCGTAGAATTAGTTGAGGAAAATAAGGCCTTTTAAGTACTCCGTAAAGACAAACAAAATATTCTCCGTAATATAATGTTTTACTGAATTCTAGAATTCTTGAGATTTAAGTTTACTGGAGTTATCTTTCTTATTTTCTGATAATGTCGTGTATGGTCGACGGTAACTAAAAAAAATAATTGGCATGATTATAAACATATAAAAACAATTCAAATTTATTTTAAAAGATTGTAAAAAGCTATACAGTGTATATTTAGTGAATATAGTTTTAATTAATAGCAACATTCGCTAAGAGGTAAATTACTGAAATGGAATTTTATAAGATTTAAAAATATTATAAATATTCTGATTAAAAATCTATACAAATGAAAACTAATCTTAAAAAATTTAATTTTTCATCGATTTTTTTACTTAAGATAATATTGTCCTTAATATGTATTATTCATAAAGGCAAATATAAGCGTCACTAATTAAACAATGTCTTACGACTAAGAGCAGATTTTCTGTCAGTTGAATCTGATTTTACAAGAATATTGAAAATTTAAATTCTCCGAAGGTTTCTGATTTTAACTAATATAGCCACTACAAATTATTTCGCTGAATTTCACGAGTTTTCATAAATTAAGTATGTGGGTCGAACGACATGCAAGACATGTTTTTACCAAGGTTTTCTAACCAAAAATATTTCTAACATAATTCCATTCATTTTTTAAGTTCGTATTAATAAAATTCGACAATTGTTTCATTTTGTTTACGAGAATTTCCAAATTAATGTCTCTTTCACCGCAAAATGACGCTAAAATATACTATGTAAATTTACATTACGTCCGCTGATACAAGAAAAAACAATATTATTAAACAAAATTCGCATGTTCTAAAAAGGATTAAACAATTTAATTAAATATTCTAAAATTTGTTGATCGTTCCTCTTTATAATGACATAAAGATTTCGACGATAAATCTTTATTTTCATTAAGTATGGAACATTGTTTCATCAGGGTATACTAATTTTCTAGCGAACTATGGAGGTACCTACTTTAAAATTGATTTTAAAAAAAATCCACATTGCAACCAAAAACTTTTTCGGTTTCTCTTTCTTTTTAATATACACACTTTTCTCTCGTTGGAACTAATATAACCACTTCTACTTATATATATATATATATATATATATATATATATATATATAACCACTTCTACTTATATATATATATATATATATATATATATATATATATATATATATATATATATATATATATATATAGTGTATATGGATATAGATCCGACAGTATAAAGAAAAAAATACGGAAAAACAAACAAAAATCCTAATATGCAATTATGCTGTTTTAATGTTAACATAATGTCCACGTCGGACGTTTCGGTCTAATATTTTGAAATTATCTTCGAATACGTTTTCACAACATCGCCCACGTGACGACGATGTGATCATTTTCAAACGGAACGCTGATCTAATTAATAAAATATTCAGTTATCTGTTTGGATTAGTCTTGCTCTTGGGTCCATTGTCTTTTTCATGTTGAATCGAATATAGTTAATTATGTTTTATGAATATGTCCTGAAGATGGTCTATTAGACCGAAACGTCCGACGTTGACATTATATTAACATTAAAACAGCATAATTGCATATTAGGATTTTTTTTGGTTTTCCGTATATTTTTCTTCACACACACACACACACATACATACATATATATATATATATATATATATATATATATATATATATTATGCGCCTATGTTTTGTGCATACGTATTTTGAATGTACTTGGATGCGTGGTGAATTTGTGTTAGTGTATGCTTATTTGTGTTTCTGTGTCTCTGTGGGTGCGTATATGTCGGTTGGTCTCCGTCTTTGTGTATGTCTATGTATGTTTCTCTGTCTGGTTGTGCTTGTTTGTGTTAACAATGCTTATTTATGTTTCTCTGTGTGTGTGTGTGTGTGTGTGTGTGTGTGTGTGTGTGATGGGTGTTGTCCGTGTTTTTGTGTTTGTATATGCCTATTCATTTGTATGAATTCGTATCATAAGTTGAAACAGCAAATGAAACATCAAAGGAAATTGGCGCTGTGCAACAATTAGAGAAAAAACGGGTCTGAATCTGTAGAGATATGGAAATAAAATCATTAATTAAATTAACATAGATTTTAAAGTGCGTATATCAATCTACATATGTTTGCAATACATTGCGTCTTCTCATTAACTTCAATCAGCGAATATTTCAACTAACATTAGGCAGGTGATTTATAAACCCATGACGCCTCTGTACGCCGCTTGCAACATCCAGAAATCTATAATAAAACATAAAATATTAGGTTCTAAGTTGTGCTTTTCTTAATGTGTGCTAATGGTCGCATTTCGATTTTTACTAAAACTTTATCCATGAAAAATAACCCAATTTCCATTCACTACCATTAAAAGTGTCAGATCAGACAAAAGATTGAATATTGTTGCTAAGAGAGCAGATTGAAATGTCCATAGATAGTCTATGAGAATGATGCTAGAGCTGTGAAATTTTTCATGCATTGATATCACCTATTCTTATTAATAACTGCCTTGTTTATTTCCAAGTAAACAGATATCTGCCATGTTCAAAGTAGACTTCAAATGTAAATAGTAGTGATTTCTCTTGAAAATGGACAAAAAATTGCGTCGTGGTGTCATCAAGTATGAAATATGGCTTAACCTCCAGATACATTCGCGCTTATATGGATGCTAGCTCGGGAGATGATGTCCCTGGTTTATCAACAGTGCAAATATGAGCAGTTGAATTGAAGTGGAGAAAGGAGACTCTTGACGATGACCCAAGTTCTGGACGTCTTGCGAATGCCACCACGGAGGAAAGCATTGGTCGTGTTCACCACATGGTGATGGATGACAGGTGTTTGACTATAAATCAATTTGCCAATCCTATAAACATATCCAGTGAGAGAGGTGAGAATATTCTGCGTAATGAAATTGGCATGAGGAAGGTTTTTGCCCGATGTATTCCACATTTTCTCACAATTGAACAAAAGTGCAAAAGTTGACCACATCACGGGAAAATATGAAATTGTTTGAGGCAGATCCAGCTTCGAAATTCAGTGTCACAATTTCCGACCTCTGTTAAAAAACTTCCCAGATATTTACATTTTTACTTGTTAGATATGGTTATTTACTCTGTGTAATTTATATTTGGGGCACATTCCTTTGCTAGAAATTGCGCATTCTGTCTTCTTACAGTTGATGCAAACTCCTTTCTCCTCTCTTTCATTTTTAATATCCTGATTTGACTAGCATCATGCTTAATCCTTTCTTCTCGCTTTCCTTCTTATTATCCTGATTTGGCTATCATTATGCTTAATCCTTTCTTCAAGCTTTCCTTCCTATTATCCTGATCGTCTATCATTATGCTGAATTCTTTCTTCTAGATTTCCTTCTTATTATCCTGGCTTGGCTATCATAAAGCATAATCTTTTCTTCGAGCATTCCTTCTTATTATCCTGATTTGGCTATCATGCATAATCATTTCTTCTCACTTTCCTCTTAATTACCCTGATTTGGCTATCATTATGCTTAATCCTTTCTTCTCGCTTTCTTTCTTATTATCCTGATTTGGCTATCATCATGCTTAATCCTTTCTTTTTGCTTTCCTCTGTATTATCCTGTTTTGGCTACCATCAGACTTAATCGTTTCTTCTAGCATTCCTTCGCAATATCCTGATTTGGCTATAATCATGCTTAATCCTTTCTTCTGGCTTTCCTTCCTATTATCCTGATTTGGCTATCATCATGCTTAATCCTTTCTTACTGATTTTCATTCTTGTTATCCTGATTTGGCTATAATCATGCTTAATCCTTTCTTCTCGCTTTCCTTCTTATTATCCTGATTTGGCTATCATCATGCTTAATCTTTTCTTCTTACTTTCCTTCTAATTATCCTGATTTAGTTAACATTATGCTTAATCATTCCTTCTCGGTTTCCTTCTTATTATCCTGATTTGGCTATCATCATGCTTAATCCTTTCTTTTTGCTTTCCTTCTTGTTATCCTGTTTTGGCTCTAATCATGCTTAATCCTTTCCGCTTGATTTCTTTCCTATTCTCCTGATTTGGCTATCATCATGTTTAATCCTTTCTTCACGCTTTTCCTTCTTGTTATCCTGATTTGGCTATAATCATGCTTAATACTTTCTTCTCGCTTTCCTTCTTATTATCCTGATTTAGCTATCATCATGCTTAATCTTTTCTTCTCACTTTCCTTCTTATTATCCTGATTTGACTATCATCATGCTTAGTCCTTTCTTTTTGCTTTCCTCTTTATTATCCTGTTTTGGCTACCATCATGCTTAATCCTTTCTTCTAGCTTTCCTTCCTATTATCCTGATTTGTCTATCATCATGCTTAATCCTTTCTTTTTGATTTCCACTTTATTATCCTGTTTTGTCTATCATCAGACTTAATCGTTTTTTCTAGCATTCCTTCCTATTATCCTGATTTGTCTATCATCATGCTTAATCCTTTCTTTTTGCTTTCCTCTTTATTATCCTGTTTTGGCTATAATCAGACTTAATCGTTTCTTCTATCATTCCTTCTTATTATCCTGATTTAGCTATCATCATGCTTAATCTTTTCTTCTCACTTCTATCATTCCTTCATATTATCCTAATTTGGCTCTAATCATGCTTAATCCTTTCTGCTTTATTTCCTTCCTATTATCCTGATTTGGCTATCATCATGCTTAATTCTTTCTTCTTGATTTTCCTTCTTGTTATCCTGATTTGGCTATAATCATGCTTGATCCTTTCTTCTCGCTTTCCTTCTTATTTTCCTGATTTGACTATAATCATGCTTAATCCTTTCTTCTCGCTTTCCTTCTTATTATCCTGATTTAGCTATCATCATGCTTAATCTTTTCTTCTCACTTCACCTTATTATTATCCTGATTTAATTAATGTTATCCTGTTTTGGCTACCATCATGCTTAATCCTTTGTTTTTGCTTTCCTTCTTTTTATACTGATTTGGCTATCTTTATGCTTAATACTTTCTTCTCGCTTTCCTCCCTATTATCCTGATTTAGCTATGATCATGCTTAATCCTATTTTTTGCTTTCATCTTTATTATCCTGATTTGGCTATCATCATGCTTAGTCCTTTCTTTTTGCTTTCCTCTGTATTATCCTGTTTTGGCTACCATCATATTTAATCCTTCCTTCTTGATTTCCTTCTTGTTATCCTAATTTGGCTATCATTATGCTTAATCCTTTCTTCTAGCTTTCCTTCCTATTATCCTGATTTTTCTATCATCATGCTTAATCCTTTCTTCTCGCTTTCCTTCTTATTATCCTGATTTGGCTATCATCATGCTTAATCTTTTCTTCTCACTTCTCCTTCTTATTATCCTGATTTAGTTAATATTATGCTTAATCCTTTCTTTTCGCTTTCCTTCTTATTATCCTGATTTGTCTATCATTATGCTTAATCCTTTCTTCTCGCTTTCCTCTTTATTATCCTGTTTTGGCTACCATCATGCTTAATCCTTTCTTTTTGCTTTTCCTTCTTGTTATCCTGATTTGGCTATAATCATGCTTGATCCTTTTTTCTCACTTTCCTTCTTATTATCCTGATTTGACTATAATCATGCTTAATCCTTTCTGCTTTATTTCCTTCCTATTCTCCTGATTTGGCTATCATCATGCTTAATGCTTTCCGCTTGATTTCCTTCCTATTTTCCTGATTTGGCTATCATCATGTTTAATCCTTTCTTCTTGCTTTTCCTTCTTGTTATCCTGATTTGGCTATAATCATGCTTGATCCTTTCTTCTCACTTTCCTTCTTATTATCCTGATTTGACTAAAATCATGCTTAATCCTTTCTTCTCGCTTTCCTTCTTATTATCCTGATTTGTCTATCATCATGCTTAATCTTTTCTTTTTGCTTTCCAATTTATTATCCTGTTTTTTCTATCATCAGACTTAATCTTTTTTTCTAGCATTCCTTCCTATTATCCTGATTTGGCTATCATCATGCTTAATCCTTTCTTTTTGCTTTCCTCTTTATTATCCTGTTTTGGCTATAATCAGACTTAATCGTTTCTTCTATCATTCCTTCATATTATCCTAATTTGGCTCTAATCATGCTTAATCCTTTCTTCTTGATTTTCCTTCTTGTTATCCTGATTTGGCTATAATCATGCTTGATCCTTTCTTCTCGCTTTCCTTCTTATTATCCTGATTTGACTATAATCATGCTTAATCCTTTCTTCTCGCTTTCCTTCTTATTATCCTGATTTGGCTATCATCATGCTTAATCTTTTCTTCTCACTTCACCTTCTTATTATCCTGATTTAGTTAATGTTATGCTTAATCCTTTCTTCTCGCTTTCCTTCTTATTATCCTGATTTGGCTATCACCATGCTTAATCCTTTCTTTTTTGCTTTCCTCTTTATTATCCTGTTTTGGCTACCATCATGCATAATCCTTTCTTTTTGCTTTCCTCTTTATTATCCTGTTTTGGCTACCATCATGCTTAATCCTTTCTTTTTGCTTTCCTTCTTTTTATACTGATTTGGCTATCTTTATGCTTAATACTTTCTTCTCGCTTTCCTTCCTATTATCCTAATTTGGCTATCATCATGCTTAATCCTTTCTACTTGATTCCTTCCTATTATCCATATTTGGCTACCATCATATTTAATTCTTTCTTCTTGATTTCCTTCTTGTTATCCTGATTTGGCTATCATTATGCTTCATCCTTTCTTCTAGCTTTCCTTCCTATTATCCTGATTTGTCTATCATCATGCTTAATCCTTTCTTCTCGCTTTCCTTCTTATTATCCTGATTTGGCTATCATCATGCTTAATCTTTTCTTCTCACTTCTCCTTCTTATTATCCTGATTTAGTTAATATTATGCTTAATCCTTTCTTCTCGCTTTCCTTCTTATTATCCTGATTTGGCTGTCATCATGCTTAATCCTTTCTTTTTGCTTTCCTCTTTATTATCCTGTTTTGGCTACCATCTTGCTTTCTTTTTGCTTTCCTTCTTGTTATACTGATTTGGCTATCATTATGCTTAATACTTACTTCTCGCTTTCCTTCCTATTATCCTGATTTAGCTATGATCATGGTTAATCCTTTTTTTGCTTTCCTCTTTATTATCTTGATTTGGCTATCATCATGCTTAGTCGTTTCTTTTTGCTTTCCTCTTTATTATCCTGTTTTGGCTACCATCATATTTAATCTTTTCTTCTTGATTTCCTTCTTGTTATCCTGATTTGGCTAACATTATACTTAATCCTTTCTTCTAGCTTTCCTTCCTATTATCCTGATTTGTCTATCATCATGCTTAATCCTTTCTTTTTTCTTTCCACTTTATTATCCTGTTTTGGCTATAATCAGACTTAATCGTTTCTTCTATCATTCTATCCTATTATCCTGATTTGGCTCTAATCATGCTTAATCCTTTCTGCTTCATTTCCTGCCTATTATCCTGATTTGACTATCATCATGCTTAATCCTTTCTTCTTGATTTCCCTTCTTGTTATCCTGATTTGACTATAATCATGCTTGATCCTTTCTTCTCGCTTTCCTTCTTATTATCCTGATTGGACTATAATCATGCTTAATCCTTTCTTCTCGCTATCCTTCTTATTATCCTGATTTGGCTATCATGATGCTTAATCTTTTCTTCTCACTTTTCCTTCTTATTATCCTGATTTAGTTAACATTATGCTTAATCCTTCCTTCTCGCTTTCCTTCTTATTATCCTGATTTGGCTATCATCATGCTTAATCCTTTCTTTTTGCTTTCCTCTTTATTATCCTGTTTTGGCTATCATCATGCTTAATCCTTTCTTTTTGCTTTCCTTCTTGTTATCCTTATTTGGCTATCATTATGCTTAATACTTAATCAGACTTAATCGTTTTTTCTAGCATTCCTTCCTATTATCCTGATTTAGCTATGATCATGCTTAATCCTTTTTTTTTTTGCTTTTTTTTTTTTTCTTGATTTCCTTCTTGTTATCCTGATTTGGCTATCATTATTCTTAATCTTTTCTTCTCGCTTTCATTCTTATTATCCTGATTTGGCCATTATGCTTAATCCTTTCTTCTGGTTTCCTTCCTATTATCCTGATTTGTCTATCATCATGCTTAATCCTTTTTTTTTTGCTTCCATTTTAATCCAGTTTTGGCTTCAGACTTAATCGTTTCTTCTAGCTTCCTTCCTATTATCCTGATTTGGCTATCATCATGCTTAATCCATTTTGCTTTTTCTTTCCTTTATTATCCATATTTGGCTATCATCATGCTTAATCATTTCTTCTTGATTTCCTTTCTCCTAATTTGGCTATCATTATGCTTAATCCTTTTTCTAGCTTTCCTTCCTATTATCCTGATTTGTCTATCATCATGCTTAATCCTTTCTTTTTTGATTTCCACTTTATTATCCTGTTTTGTCTATCATCAGACTTAATCGTTTTTCTAGATTCCTTCCTATTATCCTGTTTTTATCATCATGCTTAATCCTTTCTTTTTGCTTTCCTATTATCCTGTTTTAGCTATAATCAGACTTAATCATTTTTCTATCATTCCTTTTTTTTTTTTTTTCCTTCCTATTATCCTGATTTGGCTATCATCATGCTTAATCCTTTCTTCTTGATTTTCCTTCTTGTTATCCTGATTTGGCTATCATTATTTTCCTTTTGAATAATCATTTTTTCTTCTCGCTTTCCTTCTTATTATCCTGATTTAGCTTTCATGTAATTTTTCTTCTCCACTTCATTATTATTATCCTGATTTAATTAATGTTATCCTGTTTTGGCTACCATCATGCTAATCCTTTGTTTTTGCTTTCCTTCTTTTTATACTGATTTGGCTATCTTTATGCTTAATACTTTCTTCTTTTCCTCCCTATTATCCTGATTTGATCATGCTTAATCCCATTTTTGCATCTTTATTATCCTTTTGGCTAATCATCCTTTCTTTTTGCTTTCCTCTGTATTTCCTGTTTTTGCTACCATTATTTAATCCTTCCTTCTTGATTTCCTTCTTGTTATTGGCTATCATTATGAATCCTTTCTTCTAATTATCCTGATTTTCTATCATAGCTTAATCCTTTCTTCTTTTCCTTCTTATTATCCTGATTTGGCTATCATCATGCTTAATCTTTTTTCTCACTTCTCCTTCTTATTATCCTGATTTAGTTAATATTATGCCTTTCTTTTCTTTCCTTCTTATTATCCATATTTGTCTATCATTATGCAATGTTTCCTCTTTATTATCCTGTTTTGGCTACCATCATGCTTAATCCTTTCTTTTTTTGCTTTTCCTTCTTGTTATCCTGATTTGGCTTAATCATGATTTTGATCCTTTTTCTCACTTTCCTTCTTATTATCCTGATTTGACTATAATCATGCTTAATCCTTTCTGCTTTATTTCCTTCCTATTCTCCTGATTTGGCTATCATCATATCATTTTCCTGATTTGGCTATCATCATTTTTAATCCTTTCTTCTTGCTTTTCCTTCTTGTTATCCTGATTTGGCTATAATCATTTGATCCTTTTTCTCACTTTCCTTCTTATTATCCTGATTTGACCATGCTTTCCTTTCTTCTCTTTCCTTCTTATTATCCTGATTTGTCTATCATCATGCTTAATTTTTTCTTTTGAATTTATTATCCTATCATCAGACTTTTTTTTTTAGCATTCCTTCCTATTATCCTGATTTGTCTATCATCATGCTTAATCCTTTCTTTTTGCTTTCCTCTTTATTATCCTGTTTTGGCTATAATCAGACTTAATCGTTTCTTCTATCATTCCTTCATATTATCCTAATTTGGCTCTAATCATGCTTAATCCTTTCTTCTTGATTTTCCTTTTTTATCCTGATTTGGCCATTCCCTTTCTTCTCGCTTTCCTTCTTATTATTTGACCATGAATTTTCTTCTCGCTTTCCTTCTTATTATCCTGATTTTGGCTATCATCATGCTTAATCTTTTCTTCTTGATTTTCCTTTTTTAATGTTATGTTAATCCTTTCCTCCTTTTCCTTCTTATTTGGCTATAATCTTAATCCTTTCTTTTTGATTTCCTCTTTATTATCCTGTTTTGGCTCCATCATGCATTTTTCCTTCTCTTTATTTCCTCCATCATGAATTTTCTTTTTGCTTTCCTTCTTTTTTTATAATTTGGCTATCTTTATGCTTAATACTTTTTTCTCGCTTTCCTTCTTATTATCCTAATTTAGCTATCATCATGCTTAATCCTTTCTATCTCATTCCTTCCTATTATCCATATTTGTCTACCATCATATTTAATTCTTTCTTCTTGATTTCCTTCTTGTTATCCTGATTTGGCTATCATTATGCTTCATCCTTTCTTCTATTTCCTTCCTATTATCCTTTTGTTTTTGCTTCTCCTTTCTTTTTTATCCTGATTTGGCTATCATCATTAATCTTTTTTTCTCATTCTCCTTCTTATTATCCTGATTTAGTTAATATTATGTAATCCTTTCTTCTCGCTTTCCTTCTTATTATCCTGATTTGGCTGTCATCATGCTTAATCCTCTTTTTGCTTTCCTCTTTATTATCCTGTTTTGGCTACCACCTTGCTTTTTTTTTGCTTTCCTTCTTGTTATACTTTTGGCTATCATTATGCTTAATTTGGCTATCATTATCATTTAGCTTGATCATGGTTAATCCTTTTTTGCTTTCTTTTTTATCTTTTTGGCTATCATCATGCTGTCGTTTCTTTTTTGCTTTCCTCTTTATTATCCTGTTTTGGCTACCATCATATTTAATCTTTCCTTCTTGATTTCCTTCTTGTTATCCTGATTTGTTTATACTTAATCCTTTCTTCTAATTTTTGGCTATCACTTTATTATCCTGTTTTGGCTATAATCAGACTTAATCGTTTCTTCTATCATTCTAGATTTGGCTTAATCATGCTTCCATTTCCTGCCACATTATCCTGATTTTTCTATCATCATGCTTAATCCTTTCTTCTTGATTTCCTTCTTGTTATCCTGATTTGACTATAATCATGCTTGATCCTTTCTTCTCGCTTTCCTTCTTATTATCCTGATTGGACTATAATCATGCTTAATCCTTTCTTCTCTTTATCCTTCTTATTATCCTGATTTGGCTATCATGATGCTTAATCTTTTCTTCTTTTTCCTTCTTATTATCCTGATTTAGTTAACATTATGCTTAATCCTTCTTTCCTTCTTATTATCCTGATTTGTCTATCATTATGCTTAATCCTTTCTTTTGCTTTCCTCTTTATTATCCTGTTTTTTGGCTATCATCATGCTTAATCCTTTCTTTTTGCTTTCCTTCTTGTTATCCTTATTTGGCTATCATTATGCTTAATACTTAATCAGACTTAATCGTTTTTTCTAGCATTCCTTCCTATTATCCTGATTTAGCTATGATCATGCTTAATCCTTTTTTTTTTTTTGCTTTCCTCTTTATTATCATGCTTAATCCTTTCTTCTTGATTTCCTTCTTGTTATCCTGATTTGGCTATCATTATTCTTAATCTTTTCTTCTCGCTTTCATTCTTATTATCCTGATTTGGCGATCATTATGCTTAATCCTTTCTTCTGGCTTTCCTTCCTATTATCCTGATTTGTCTATCATCATGCTTAATCCTTTCTTTTTGCTTTCCATTTTATTATCCAGTTTTGGCTATCATCAGACTTAATCGTTTCTTCTAGCATTCCTTCCTATTATCCTGATTTGGCTATAATCATGCTTAATCCTTTTTACTTGATTTCCTTCTTGTTATCCTGATTTGGCTATCATCATGCTTAATCCTTCTTTTTTGCTTTCCTCTTTATTATCCTGTTTTGGCTACCATCATGCTTAATCCTTTCTTCTCGCTTTCCTCCTAATTATATTTTTTTTGTCATCAAAAACTTTTGCCTAGGAACCAGAATCTCATTGAAGTTGACATCATATTTGCCGGTGATCATATCTTTTCCAACAGGATTACAGTCTTCAAATATGTCTTAAAAATGCGTTACATGCACATCGAGACACAACTGCAATTGTGTAGCGATTTTGACATGGTTTTTATGTAATATCCTAAAATAAATAATATCGCTTTATATTTTATTGAACCCTCTTTTAAATCAAATGTTACGAACGTTGGCACTGTACTCTATTCGTTCTCATCTTACCTGGATATATATATATATATATATATATATATATATATATATATATATATATATATATATATATATATATATATATATATATATATATATATATATATATATAAATATATATATATATATAATATATATATATATATATATATATATATATATATATATATATATATATATATATATATATATATATATATATAATTTACAATTATTACATCCACAGAACAACCCTATAAAGTAACGTTATACCTAGAGTAGCTCTTGGGATATTTATTGGATAAAAACTATGATAAACTTTTCAATTGTGTCTGTGTTTGCTAGCGTAACTTTCTACAATTCTTTTTGTATATGCGATTCTGGCGATACCGCTATGTTCATCTGGTTACATATCATGTTTCACATTAATTTCTTCATTTTATTGCATAGCAGAAACGGCTCTTTTAATAACGCCATCCATCAAACCCTTTGCCATGCAACAATTCTCTTTCTACAGAAAATGTAAAAAATAAAGAATTATCAGCGTGAAACGAACATGCGGTCATTAATATAAAATTTGCAGCGTGTTCGGTACATAGTACCACCTAAACATACCTACGGCCAACATTGAAAGATTTATCAATCTCAAACCAGGTGGCTGTGTTCAAAATAAAACTACTGTCTTGTATAACTGGATCTATAAATAAGAATGCATAATACCCCATGCATATATGTAAAGATATAGAACAAGACAGTCAACAACATACTTAAAAGTACCTAAAGGAATAAAAAGAAGCCAAAACCAGTAAAGCTAAGGGTACTCATTACGCTATCTGATACGTGTTTCAAATAGTTTACAAAGATCAGCTTTGATGACTGAGTTAGTTAAAGATGACCTCATATATCCATTTAATTTGCAGGAGGATGGATAGCAAAATTTCGACAGGCATGATTTAAATTACTATAGCAAATTGGAAGTTCAGTGACTCCTCAATCTTGGTATAATTTGGAATCTCGCGAGTTCGTGTGTGGAGATTTGAGAATTTATACAAGAGACGAAGGTTTATTCTTCATTCAAAAATTCGTCCTGGATATGACGATAAACTACATAACGGCAGCAAGGTCTCTTGTCATTTTGATGAACGTGAAACCACCTGTTAATTGCTGTTATTCTCAGCTCGCCTCTGGCCCCGGTGGGTAGCAGTTGTTAGGGTCCTAGCTATAAAAGTGACTCCCCCAAAGAAAAATTAAAAGTGCATTTTTACAGTAAAAATTACCATCAATACATTTAATTATTTATAAAATATATATCTAAAAAATACCGAAAGTATAAATTTATGTATAATATATCTGGAGTTGAAAGCATAAAATTACGGAAAAAATATTTAGATTTCGGTCTAGAGGTTGATATGCCTCCCAAAGAAAATCAGCAAATTAATCAACCAATATGATAGAACGCTTTCATAATATTAATCCATACAATATCCTTCAATTTCTTAAAGATATCTAACTGTGTTCTAAAATACGACTTCAACAAAACTACAAAATAAAATCCGTATATCACCGGGTTTAATAATTATGTCCACACAAACATATATATTCACAAAAGCATAATTCAGTTGTGAAAGCAGAACAAAATATATCATATTTTTATTACTTCAAGGCACCAAGAAAATTAGATTTTGGCATTAAGTGACACATAAGGATGTTGATATACCTTGAAACAAATTAATCAATCAATCAAAAATCATTCAAAAATTAGGAAGAAATAGTTTCGTCTAACAACACAGAACCGCCTGCGTAGCCGATATGACCGGCAACTTCCTAGTCAGCTCGCCGATGTTTCCCTGGAGTAACAATTTAACTGGTCTACATAACTAGGTAATGGAAAGATTACCCGTTTGTTTATAAAGAAATATTTGGCATTCATTGACCGAGAAGCCAGTATTACTGTCGATTGATATTTATAAAATTTTTGTCTTGAAAATTTTTTTAAAGGGAAACGGGGTTCTTACGTCCAGTAGCTTTTATCACTCTTTCCAGTATTGACGCGGGTAACTTTCTACACTTTCTACACTCTCGAGTTACATGTGATGTCCATTGTAGTGGCTACTGTTTTTGAAAATTTTCGATGTAGTTTCTATTATCTGATAAGTTATTTGTGATTCTGTAGCGCCAGTCCACAAGGCTCGAAGAAGTATAGTATTCGTCAAGTCTTCATTAACTCAAAGTTATTTTAACCATTGATCTGAGAAAGTATGTGACAGTAGCTGAAAATAAGTTAAGCTCGGAGAAGATATAAATCATTTTTAATATAAACAAAAGAATTATGAAGAAAAGGTACAAAATAAATATTAACGGCTTTTTTAAAAGCCATATCCTATTCAGCCCCATATATATATATATATATATATATATATATATATATATATATATATATATATAATACATAAAAGGTTAATGGTCAGAGTTTATTCAGACTAGGAAACACTAGCATTAAATGTGCTTAATACACATATGAAAAAATTCAATAAAGGTAAAATAACATATAGAGCTTTTAACTTTAAACTTCTGGAGATTAGTTGACTCCGCTACCATGGTTTCATCCTTACGACATCCTCAGGTAATTCTTATCAAATGACCTCTTCTTAACGCTTTATATTTTGTAAAAAAAAAACAAACCAAAAAAAAATACTAATGAACGATAAATTATTATTATTTTCAAAAATAAATTAAAATGTACCGTTCATTAATTATTTTTTAAACCAATGTATGGAATCTGTTCATGTATGGAATCTGGTAAAAATTGACATGACACGTTGACTGAAGATTGCTTGAGACATGAAACTGACAGTCACGATGTAGCATTTATTCTTATAGCCTCACCGATGCTTGGTACGTCACCATTTATTTTCTTCTATCTCCGCCCCCATATGTATGTGTGCGTGTGTGTGTGAACTTATTCAAGTTTTCAGACGTCTTGCCCTACAGAACTGAACTGCTTGTTTGAGGGTTAATTACTATCTAAAATATCTTGCTGACTCTTCCCACTGCAATCCTTTAGAACAAAAATAGGCGTCCTTCATGCCAGGTGATATGACAAGTTAGACTAAGATTCATAAATAGCCATACAGGTGAATAATTATATTTTTAATCATAAGACCAAATTTGTGAAGATGCGTGTCTCCTTCAAATCTTGGTGTCTGTTTGTAGGAGTCCAGAAATGGCAGACCTCCGCGATTGGAATTTGTCGTCAGGACGTTGATTGGAGCAATGTGCTTGAGGCGCGATCATTTTATAAAAGACTGCTTTTCTATAGATAGATACAAACGATCATCAATCAATTAATTCAAAGAATATGGCGCGTAATTGAGACTTATTATGTCACCGACACTTGGCGCTGATTGGAGAAAATACTTTTGATCAAAGGAGTCACACCATTTGCCGACGGCTGTATTTCTTGCCAGGTCGGGTTACGGACATCCCGGCTAACTGATCAACTACGCTCGCGACTGCAACAATCCAACAGTTTATTGATTCAAGTCTGGTAGGACTATTGTGTGCTTGATTGATGCACAGTTATTGGTAAGATAAGCATTAGTGTTAGTTATAGAGAAGGATTGATCAATATCTTAAATGATCTCTAAATATCTAGTCGAGATAATTTTGATTTCCTAAGATATATATATAGTGGTACACGTTTGGAAAAAACCTCGATAGCTCAACTTTAGTAGAACAAATCGGTACTCGAGATAAAATGGGAATAAAACACACACACACACACACACACACACACATATATATATATATATATATATATATATATATATATATATATATAAGGCAGGTGATAACTTCGGTTCTCTATCAACGGAGAAAAAATTAGTTATCGCTAACTACAAGGAACCTAAAAAATTATTGAACCAAAAATCAGAAATCGTTTTAGGTGTAGGCATAGGAAAAACTGGCTATTAAAATAGGTTTATTTTTTTTATTTTTTTATTTTTGTTGGTTGTTCACTAAAGTATATATATGTAATTGTTTTCTCTTCGAGAAGTATACAGGATGTTTGTCGTTTTTTATTTATTTATTTTTTTTGTCGAGTGCTTTATGGCTATTTTTTGTTTTAGCAATAAATTCTGTTCCATAATTTTCCTCTTCAGTCGGCTTTTCCCTGAAGACTTGTTTAGGTGAAACCTAGGTAGATTTGCCTGGCTCCTTAGGATTATATATTTGGTATATATGTATCTGAAAGTTATATTTCTGGAGATTTTCGTAGCATGTCACAAGATGACGAGAAAATCGTTTGGAATATTTTTGGCTGCCGATCTTGCAACTGGGACAGAATTTAAAATTCAATTAGATTAATAAAGGATAAAAATCAATAGCAAAACTTTGGTAGTTGGCAAAAACCTTGCGTATATCTAAGAAGCAGTAGTGGTCCCTGTTGAAGTCGACGTAAATACGGGATTCCAAACGTGCCTCTGTAAAGAAGGCCTTACCTAAGTGTGATTTTGGTATCAATCAATTCGTATTTTTATTAAATATTAATATCACATAAAATGTTTATAATAATTATTATAACAAAATGTTTTATGCATTAGCCTATTCACACACCCACAATGTCATTCTTTTTCGTTTGTGAGTGACTGAGAGAGACGATGATTGAGAATGCAAGAAGAATAGAGAGCTACACTTTAGTGATTGGTTATTTAGTGGACTTTACTACACATTAACTTTTTTTTATTTAGAGTCAAAATCTTTTTTTTAAATTTAATTATATCGCCATTCGTTTATTAGTCTGAAATATGAGCCTATGCGTTGGCTTCTTTTGGGTTCATTTTATATATATATATATATATATATATATATATATATATATATATATATATATATATAATATATATATATAATTACACATGTTGGATGCATCCTTGAATTGCGATAAACATAAGCCGGGTTTATACTTTATGCGATATGCGAGTGTTTCTCAATCTTTTTAAGCAAAGGCACACCTAGTGAATAAATGAAAAATCACAGCACACTAAGCAAAACATTTAAAGTGAATACATTTAAATATCATGAAATAAAACCATATATTGTTTTACAAGTACACACACAAATATGAACTTACTTTATTTCAATGTTTCTATTCAACTATTTATGCAGATTATTTAATGTGAAAACTGTGCTAGTGTTTTTTTTTTGTTTTTTTTTTCGTGATTTCTTCAATGTTTGTCGAATGTGCGATAAGCAGACCCTCATTTTTCCTTCAGTTGAGGGTCGTCTTTCTTGCTTCTTTTTTTTTCATTTATGGCTGAGAAACCTAATTCACACAAATATATAGCAAAATATCTGATAAAGCCTTTTTAACTAAAGTGGAGTATTCATTTTGTATTAAAATTCAAATGTATCAATGGGGTACCGGCAAATGTTTTATATTGAGCCCCAGATCACTAGAAAGAGTAGTCAATAATTCTTCTTCGTATAACTGAAGTTCAATATTAGAAGGCACATTTATAAAGGGATTTCGAATCCAATCATACTTTTGCGGTACACTTAAGACGATCCTGACTCAGTAGTTGAGTATCACTTCTATCGGTCGTCACAGCTTGTATTCATGCCCGATTCTATAACTGACGTTAATACGGTAACATATTTCAGGCTATAGCTAACCTTATGAAGGATTTATGCTTGAGTCTATAGGTGGCAATGACTCTAATTTATACTGCAGACTATAAGCAACCATAACCTAGAATAATATGTGAAAGTATACGAAATCATATCCCGCCTTTATACTTCAAGCTACAGGTATAAATAATTTGCATTTGAGTCTAGTAGATATAAACAACATATATAGCTCAGAGCATAGGTAGCAATAAATCAGGTTTATTGTTGAGTATATGCCGGGTATGTACTTCAGACTATAGGTAGAGAGAAATTGAATTCATACTTGAGCCTCAAAACAATCACTAACTACGAACACGGCCACAATGCTCAAAAATATTAACACACTCAGAGTCCAGAAAAGAAGACACTTGTTCGAACACAAAAAAACTTAAATAAAAAGCTTAATTGAGGTAACTTGTCTGTTGTCTTTAATAAAACGTGTATATGATTGCTGGCTAATTACACAACATATATATATATATATATATATATATATATATATATATATATATATATATATATGAAGTGAATTAGAAGTCAACACTGAGAGGTTAAGGCTGTTTCATGCTGGACGCAATCGTCAGACGGCCTGACGATTGTGTCCAGCATGAAAAAACAGATGGTCGCCTCTGAGTGTTGGCTTCAATGTTCACTTTATAGTTATATTTGCATACACTCCTATCTCTGATATTGTTTAAATTTTGCACTTTATCCCACCAGTATAGCAGACATTAAAAATATATTTCCTCATATATATA